TCATGTTATATTCAATAGTAAAATTTGTGTCATCTTTTGGAAACAGATCAACCCGTAGGTTCGCCATTCACTGGATTAATGAGGTAAATATCCTAAACAGTTATTATAAATTCACATATGTCTAATATTCTAAATGAGATGATAGCTTTTATCAAAAATCATACAATGCTTAATTTGCTATTAAAAATTTTAGTCAGTTGTAAGCCTTAGTACATGATTGTATTGAGGGCAGGAAGAGGTATTACCGTAATGAACCTTCTAAGTTTGATATACTTGGCAATAATGATATTCATATAAGTCTCGGGGACTTACTGACTGTGATCCCACTGATTAACTATCATCGTGTAAGTTACCTCATTCACTTGGAGCACAAATATTTTTGTTTTTTTAGATCTTTAAATGTGATTGGTCAGTGAAATCAGTAGATAATCGATCAAATGCATTTCACTTTAAATGTAATCAATGAAATCAACAAAGTTTAACTCAGTTATCGAAATATTTCATTCATATTACAGAAGCTAAACAATCTGAGTGTTTCTTGTTGGGTATTTAGAAAGTAGAATAAAACCAGTAAATCTCATCCGTTTATCACGCCTTATTTCATTAAACGCTCTTGATAACACAAACACATTAGAATAAAGTGCTTGTGAACTGTTCACCAATTACCTACAGTTAATATACGCATACTCATGTATAAATACTACTACTACTACTAATAATAATAATAATATCTGTATGATGAAAAAATCTTCAACCACCCATATTCTCTTATAGTTTTATTCAATTTTGTACGTGAAATAGAACATACAATCCATAAAATCAATAAGTATTTCTATATCATATTAATAGTTGTTTCGATAATTTAAATACTTAAATATGCATACATAACCCATCAAATTGTCTTTATAAAATATCTCATCAAATTTATGTCAGCTATGATTTATGATAAAAGTATGTTTCTGTAGTTATAATTTGTAGAACTAAAATTGACCTTAAAGTTATGTTCAAAGTTTGACAAAAACGTTAACATTGATCAGCTAAGCATCTTAATTAACATTTGAATAGTGAGCATCAAAAAATCAAACATGAATGTAGTTTCGATTTTATTCCATAGAGTTTTAAAATATTTTTGAATGGAATTGGTTTTTAATGAAAGCAACTGAATAGTTTGAAACAAGTGTTTATGAACACTTATCCACGCAAGATATTTCGGGTCTGTCAGTAAGACACCATCAGCAACAACCTAATGTTAGAGAGAATAGGTCAAGTTCCAGCTGAGGAAGAAATGAGGAAATAGCGCTGTAGGTGTATAGGACACAAATTGCAGAAATCACTGAAGTGCTTCTCAAGGCAAGCCCCAACCCCCAGTACTAAGGCCAAATGAAAAGAGATAGACCAAAGAACAATTTACCTCGAGAATTGGAAGCAGACATGAAAAGATTGAACAGAAACTAGGTAAAACTGGAAAGGAAAGCCCAGCACATAGTTGGATGGAGAATGACGGTCTGCGGCCTTTATTCCAAGAGGGGTAGCATGCCTTAGTAAATAAGTAAATACACTTGACGATCGATTAGTATTATTATTCGATAAACACCAACGAAACCTTGATAGACTAAGAGTTGTAGACGTATTCAACTACACTCACGAACGTTTTTTCAGAAAAATCAGATCCTTACAGCCAGTCATAACTTCAAAAACATCTTATTTTATTTACTTCCGTAAATTTTAAAAACGACATATCAATTAAAAGGAACCATTCAACTCGCCACAATGCTTTACTCAACATCATTGTATTGAAACAATATATGTTGAAAAATTCACATACGTATTTCATATATAATTTAACTTGATTGTTGAAATCACAATCTGATCCATGTTATACCACCATTGAAAACTTGAAACGGTCATCCGTTTACTTTCAAGTTTCCAAAGACGGTCTACCATGAATTGGTTCATGATTCCAATCGTCACAACTCTTTACTGGCGTTTATTAATTAAACTTTACCTTAATAATCTCAACAAATTTCAATAAAATCCACACATCATTGAGAACATCCTACTTATTTATGTGAAACATTTTTTTTTAGTATGATATTGATTATTAGTTGAAAATCTTGTTAAAAAAAAAATTTCATGACTAGTTACATTTATTTATTTAACTATTCTTTTTGATGGATAGATCATTTCTGTGTACTACCTTAATTTTTATTTATAACATTTTTAATTTTTAACCGATTATTCATATAATTGATTTTTGTACGGTATTTTCTTTGATAATTCTGTTCACATGATTAAATATTATTAAATGAATAATATTAATTGTAGTTGAAATGAAACATTTTCTATTTTAAATGTTGATTGGTATAAGATTAGAATAGTTGTTATGTGGAATGTATGTATGTATGTGTATCATTGTTTCCGGTTACGGAAAAGTGTCAAGAAGAAAAGCATCAAAGAATAATTTCACTTATAAACTAGTTTATTGTTTTAATATTATAAAATTATTTGGAAAATGTTTTTTTAAGACAAATTGACAGATTGATTGGTTTGGTTTCGTTTTTTTTTTAAATTGTTGACAAATGCAAAGAAAATCAATGAAAATGCGCTAAGCAAATAAAAAGGTTAGTGTAACACTTTTTCCTGTTGTGCAATAATGGCTGAAATTAACTAGAAACAAGAATCAATAGGAAACTGCTGAAAATATTGTTTAGTCAAAAGTATTATTTAAAGTTATGAAATTGTGAAAATACACCATTAATACAATATGCATGTAGCTTGAGTTTATTGAATCTAATCCCAATTATCCTATTATCTCTTCCAAATCACATTTTGTCAACTGCACATTCATTCTGAGTTATACATGATGAATGATCAACTTCGTTGCCACTATCTAAAACTGTTGACTGTTTGACTTCAATATAATAATCGACACATCAAGTCTGCTTAAACTATTCACTTAAGTAATGCATTTAGTGAATATTGATGGATAAGCGTTTATATCAACTATGAATATTCTAGTAGGATGATTACCAATGATAATTAAGTTTTTTCCAGTGTTTTATCTGATATCTAGAACATGTTTCTGCTTGAAATTAAGACATTGTTATTTCATTACATAAGCAATATTTATAAAAATTGAATCTATTGACAAGTGACTATAGACAAGCATATTTACTGTTTACCTTGATACACACATAACACAAACGTTTATATGACTTCAGTTATAAAAATATGCAATATGAAGCCTTTTAAGACACTTCTACACACTGTTTCCTTGGATGATAGCCTGATTTAATCAATTCAAAAGAATAAACGTTAACTGACGTGAGACAATGGGCAATATAAAACGGACTCGATTATTGTGCTAACCGATACAAAAGAAAGATGTGCATAACGGATTTTTTTGTTGTATATGTCACTCAACATCGTATTCAGAGACGTTATTATTGATTGCTAAATCAAACGTGACTAATGTAATATTGTGCTAACATCTATGGTAGAATTCTATCAATTACAACACTTTGACGTAAGTTCGAATCCTATGAAATCTTTGATTCCCTAAAGATTAAAAATACTTCTCATAGGTATGTCTACATTGACGCCTTGTCTAGTTAGAAGAATTGAGACTTGTTTGACGGAACTAGGCTAGACAAGATTGATTACAGTCAAGTGATCAATGTGTGACTTTAATAAATACTCTTTTTGCTAAATATTCTTCTACGCAATGATTAAAACACGCTAGAAAACAACATTAATAATATTTCAACAAGATCCTATTGACCAATAAATGACATTCTACTAAATATCTTCTCAAACAAAATCTGTATACGTTTGATACAGAACTGATGGGATTTATTTGATCAATGAACTAATAGTCAACTAAATTACTACAGAATTCAGAGATAAAGAAATCACCAACTTCTGAGTCTCATCCATACTTTCCTTTAGGTATACATGTAATATCAGATATCTTAAAAACATAAAAGTATATACTTTACACTAACATTTCGATCGCTTGCATTGAATTCATTACAAACCCTATTTACAGTGTGTAGTTTCGAATCCCAGACTGATCAAAGCTAATACTCTTGGATTACTCATTTCAATCGGTTACTTTCATTACTAAACATATATAGGAGGTGTATGTCTACAGCGTTGTCTGTTTGGTTTACAGATTTTCACGATCATACTTTTCACCTCATTTCATTAATAATAGTGTACGTTCAAGAAAGAAGCGAACCCGTTAGAAATATGCCTTTCACTCACTACAATTACTAGTCACACAAAAATATTTTTTCAAACTGTTGTTAAACGGAGTAACTCACTGTTTCTTACTAGTGTAATAAAGGATTAATGTTTTCAATCACTTAACTTCTAACAAATGTACAAATTCGCTCTTGTAAATCTTCATCTCAGAAATAGGAAATTTACGTAATTTTAACTGATACGTTTTTTGAAGGCTAGTCATGTTCATAAGTGGTTGTTTCTATGAGATGGCACGAAGGGAAATTGTAGTGAACCCTCAGACACTTAACAGCCTTTTCTTGCTAGTACGGGAATCTTCAGCTGTGCGTACCCACAACCTCGCTACGGATAGATTTCAGAACCTCGAAGCTTCTCAGTGACAGCCGATTCCTGATGCCAGTGTTTTATAATCAACAGGTCAATATCTCCTACACCAGTTAATTCACTATATAAAGCTATGAATATTCTGTTCAAAAAGAAAGTAACCATTTGATTCAATCTGATCATCAAGAAAACCTCATTAATTGTAAGTGTGCGATGAAAACCACTTAAAAATTTTAATAACTTGTTCAAAACTGATATTCAGAGGATACCACTTGTTTGTTTGAGAAAAGATTTAAACCTTATTAATTGGAAATTATTTTAAAAAGCAATTATACTCTAATCAATAATAGGTAAGTAGACTCAACCCTACTTTTTGTTTCTTAAACATGAGTAAAGAAAATTTTATTCTAATTTTACAAACAAATCTATTTATAAAATAATCAATAATTATATTTCTCAAACCCTTTACATTTATAGTTTTATGTACAACGTTTAAACTGTGTTTTAACCATAGCGATCATGACCATAAAGTAACATCTGGATTGTTTCCTTTCGATTATAAAAAGACCGAGTACATCATTTCACATTCTTTCTTAATCTATAATAAATTGAAAGAAAGATTATGAATAATTTGTTATATTTTATAAAAAAAAACTATAATGTGAACAACGATAGAAAAGTAGTAGTGATTTTCAGGCATAACAATAACGATAAGAGAAATGTATGGCAGTTTGGTTTAGAAGATAAAAATTCACTATTAATATGAACATACCAGTCAGCTTAATTGCTAAGAGTTTTTGTCATCAAAAAAACAAAATAAACGATAAATAAGCGAAGAACGAAACAACCTTTTGTTACGCAACCTAATATTCACTCTATTTTTTAGTTTCATGTAAATTCATATGTGACATATTGATTTTTTGTATGATTAACATAAAAGTGTATAATTTTAACCATATTAATCGATAGGCTTGTTTGTTATATGACGTTTATTTGTGAGTTATTCCTACTTTTCTACATAACAAACCTTAATTCAGATAATGCTGTGCTTTTGTTTCGTTTCAGGTTCGTCAGTTGGAAATACGTTTTTGCGACGTGTAGGTATTATCAAGACAAACCGCACAGGATGTACATCTGCCAAAGAGACTGATCAGTTGCAGTCCTAAACATCGATATAAATATTCAATAACCAATGCAAATAAGTTAACGAAAAGCATAGTTTCGAAGAAGTGAATGTAATTAAAGGATGAAATCATAGAATCTCACTTTAATCATAAGCCAGAGAACAGTAAAAGTTTACTAAACCTGTTTAGTTAAGACATACTTTGAAACTTAACATTTATATTCCTACATTTCAGCAAACATTGGTTACACACAAAAAGATGAAATACTAATGGTCTGTCATAACTAAGATTGTCTTCAAAGAAACGACTGACTAATCATATGGGAATGAGTGCATATTTTTACTGTTGTAGTATTGCGTCTGCACAATTTGAAACCTAACACTTGCACTGGAAATTTGAATAGGAATAAAATTTGTTACTCTCGCAATAAACATTTTCTAACACTTCCTCCCGTCTTTAGGAAGACCGAAACAATAAGTAAGAAGATCTTTCGTAGGAAACGCTTCGTTGCATATGGATTTAAATTATGCGCAACCTGGTGTTCCTCTATTTTGTTTTATTTGCAAAACAAAAGGCTGCAGTTGGGATCTTAAAACTTTTTTCGGGAAATATAAAAAAGCACGTTGATGTAATAGTATTTATTGATCATAGTTTGGCTAATGATAGACCTCAGATAGATTTTCTTCGCACTATAAGGTTCATCTTACTTTAATTAACAGCGCAGCAGAGAATTACATCGGAATGGTCCCTGGATATACTAAACCCGATGACTTTCAGTACATTCAAAACAACAACCAGAATTCTTTGATGGGTCAACATATGGTAGTTCTGAGTGGCAACAGTTATATGCCTTGAAGTAATATTGTCTCGTTGCCAATAAATAGAGAATTGTGTAGAAAGTGAAACGTTGATACTTTCAGAATATGTCTGAGTGATCAACGTTGCTGTTTGAATTGGGTGACATCGGTAAAATGACTATCACTATATTTGAACACTGTTGGTCTTTGATATTACTTACATGATGTTGCCATCAAATATCTGCCTGGAGCCAGACCCCTAACAGCAGCGGTTTAGATGAGTATGATTGTCCTCTGGTTTTATTTTATTAGCTTGCTTTGAGTGCATTACTTGAACCTGCTGCGTTCACAGCGTCACATATGTAATCCACCCAAGCTGTCAAACTTGTTCAAAGCCATTCGTTTTATGATCATAGCTTCCGAAGCTATTTCCCATTATTCAGCCTGCAGCTAACGAGTTCGTTGTTCTTACCAAAATCACTAAATTCATGAGTGTCCAACGCATTTGAGCTCACATCTAGTGCTGCATTATCTGACGAGCTGCTCGTCGAAATCATTATTCGCATGATCTAGAAACTTATCTTGCATTCAGTCCTAGTTGTAGTTCATCGGAAAGCAGCGGAATATTACGCAAACACAGTTATCTAATCTAGGTTATTGTCACTTTAGTTGAGCGCTGTAACAAAACTGCACACAAAGCTGTTAGAAAAGTTACTGTTAATCAGTTGATGATCTTTTACAGGACTTTGAAGGACAGACACAATGAACTTTAATCATAAACCTCTCCTAGACTGACTTACTGTGTAAAACATATGTCACACAGACAAGAGGATAAACTTCTAGTACCATACCACTGAACGTGAGTTACTAATTATATTTTACGGAGTCATAACTGTCATAAATAAGCCGAGCTGACATGTAGATGGCAGTATAAAAAAATTGGAATGGTTTTAAAAAATTAAAAACAAAACAATACACAAGATGACTTGTTTCAACGTTCACTTGTTTTCTCTAGATTGAAAATTTGAGTCTCAGAGAAACCCAATTGTTTTTGAATTAAGCTGAATCAATTGATTCACTTAATGAAGCAAAAATAATTTTTCTCAGTCTTGAAAATTCCCGTATACAAGAAGAATAACTTTTTTTGGCTGGTCTTTGTCTTAAGATTTGATTAGACAGTTTTGTATCTCACAAGTTATGTGTCAACTAAAACAGTTAGTTTTTACCTTCGTAACTCACATATCTTGAAGAAACCAGAAGCCACCAGACTTATTTTATGTATTTGTGAGACCAAAGTATGGAACCTTAAACATAACTGCTTCCTGATAAAACAGTGAAATATTAACAACACACTAATTTTGATTTCTGTCTACTGGATCTAAAACTTCCGCGCATGCATTGAATCACTTCAACGTTTTTTCAGGATTTTATGAGAATGTACATCTGTGTAGAATTCTTATTGTCTACATTAGCTATCAATGAAAAGTTCTGGAAGCTTTAAATGTATACAGCTTTACGCAAAGCACACTTTATTGTGTTATTGTTCACATATTCTGTAAATCTTACTAGTAAAAGTGCCTTACGTTACTAAGCAACGTATAGATTTCATGTATGCTCTAACGTACGTGCTGCAATATATTATACGCTATATAAAATTATAGTAAGTTATCTGTCATACGTACGATGATACCTCCTAGAGTTTACCTTATCCTTATAAACGTACAAAGCCTAGTCATAACTTACTTTAAACAGTTAATGCGTCATTTCAAATCTTGGGTTAACTTGTTGCGCGACATACAAATAAACAGGTCCATCTGAAGTAATTGTAGCTCTACCATTTTTATTGCTGCTAATGTAAGTTATGTTTTCAACCCAAGGATTTTCCTGAGGGTCGTTTGTGTCAACTTCATTGCCGTTTTTTATGTGGAGAATATCATTATCATCTATACCTGAACCATCATCAATATTATAATATCCAATAGAAAACTCTTCAATATTTTCATTAGGATTATATGGAAATGGAGTATCGAGACCACTTTCATCAGATACTCTTTCGGAATTGACCATCCAGCCAGTATTTTGACGTGACATCTGATTGTTATAATCTGAGATTCTAGTATCACCAACGAAAGGTTGTCGAGAAAAAACATGGCCGTTTGCACTTGCAGGAAAAAAATTGTTAGATTTGGATAGATTCTGTCCACTTTGTGCATGATTGCTACTGATCCCAGCGTGATTTTTCATTAGATAGGTACTCTTTAAATGATTATTTCTTCTTTTACCCAGCTTAGGCTGATTTCCTTCTTGAGATAAACGCCCGTTTGGATGAACGGCTGAAGTATTTTGTGAAAATTTTTCTTTGCTTTGTTGACCAGTGATTTTATTCCATACAAGTTCTGAACGATATCTATTTCCTGGTGGTGGCAGTGCATTTAGTAGTTCTTTGGTCTCAAGCGCACCACTATCTTCCTTATAGCATCCGTTAGGCGGGTTATGAATTTTTGGACTAATTGTAACCGATTTCACTTTTGAACCCATTGGTTCTCCTTTACCATTAAGTTGATCATTTGGTTCTCCGAGCAATCTCGTTAGTTTTTGAGCCTTAGATGAAGAACTCAAAACCATACCGTACAGAGTGACGTCGTCAAACGGTGAGTGCTGGAAAAGTATCACCAATGACTTGGGGTGTTTTGGCGAGACAAAGAACCCAAGGATCTCTTGAAGCGAAATTCGGCCTTCCAAATTGACACCATTAACTGATATTTCAGGATAAAACGTTATGAAATTTTCATAACACTTGAGGTGACTTGAAAGTTTGGATTTTGGGTCAACTTTTGTCAATATGAGTGATGCTGCGGATTCTTTTAGTATGTCCCCACTACTTTTACAAATAGAAAGTCCAGTGAATTTTACCACGTCTTCAAACTGCAGTTTCTCATTAATTATTCCCTTCGCATTTTTAGACATCTTAACGTCTGATGACAGTGACAACACGATAATAGGCTCAATTACTGAACATTGCGGCTTTTGTCCATGTAACTCAAGGTTATTATGTGTCAATATACAATATTATGGTTAGCCTACTCTTGATTTCACTGGAATCTAGGTGCCTTAAGCTTGCAAGTTTGGTGAGTTGAAAAACACAGTTGAGTTAACTTGGGATATTTTAGGATTTCCAAAAATATAAGTTGAATTTCTATATCTGTTCTCTCACAACTGTAGATCGAAATTCGCAACCTTAAGATTTTTTTCTATAAATTTTGCAACTATTTTCTCTGTGTTTCTCTGGATTGAATCGCCCTTTTCATCAAAGTAGAAAAAATGGCTTTGAAGCCTAGTCAAATGTTTGTTTTGCAAATGTGTTCAACAACAATATATAGGTTAGGTAGGTGGAGACCATTCATTTATTTGAAGATTGAAGAATCTGAAATGTCTTACTAATACACTACTCCATATAGGTCTTTTAGGTGCTCACCTGAGGAATTATGATTTCGGTAGTGTGTTGATCGTTGTGCATCCTCCTGAGTCCGACGGTGAAGTTGTGATTCCTTAACCAACATTTAAATCATGTATCCAGTTTAACGTTTTTCTCTTATTATACTATAATGATAATTACATGGCTGGGTTAAGCAAATATTCTCAGTGGGAGACAGCATAAATTACCTAAATATTTAACCGATATGCCAAGTGGAATCACCGAGCATACACCTGTTAATGGCAAGCAAATTATATCAGCGCACTGGTTCACCTTGACCTGCATGATTATAATGAAGCTGTCCGCTTTTCATCGATTTGTCTGTTTATGATTTGATTGTCGTCTCGTGGAAGTAGGTTGTTTCCATCTCTAGCTTTCTGAAAGTTCCTATGCTACGGAATCCTGTGATGCCGCACGGATGACTAGAATGCAGCACTTAATTTGCTCAGTGGTTCTGTAGATACCATAAGTCGATGAAATTTGGTAAATTTCTGGTTCTAGCACGCCAACAAATTGGTTAAACCAAATGTTCTTAAACGCAGGACACATTTTGACTTATGAAGTATTGAGTCTGTAGTGAGCGAGTCAAGACACCAGACTGACTATGATCACCACTAAATGTTCCATACGGTCCCGTCATATCAAAACAAATCCATGTTCCAAAGTTTTATTGAAGGAGACATTAGGCATTACATCAGGAACAGCAAATAGAAAAAAAGGCAGCAACTCGAGGAGAACGTTGCGCACAAGGAGCAGAAGTGTTTATTGGTACAGTTAAACAAAACGAGTACAATAATGTTTATTTTTCACAAATCGTATTTTCTTCGTAGAAGCGTTCCACTACAAGTCAATTTTAGATTTTCTGTAACGTGTGACAAGGAAGAGGTTTTGCTAGGCTACTGCATTTCGAGTGCTTGCCAGTTTCTTCCTAATGGGTTGTGTTTTGAGCAGACAATGATCGAAGCCGTTGACATGCGCTCGGAATGAATAAGCGTTCAGAGTGCACTACTTCATTTACAAACACAATATATATTCAATTCTCCCATATCGACTGATCGTAATTTCTTAAATTCATAGTTTACTTTGAGGAAAGTTATCAACTAATAAACGAATTATTTAGCTTGAACTTATGTAGATTTATTTCGACAGTGGCTGTCCTAATTGTTTCCAATAGAAACACTCCTGTACGTTCCTCCTAGGTCCGGGTCCCGACCAAATCAAAAGGGCAAAATTCTAGGAGAAAACGTCTGGTATTTGTATTTCTTCCAGGACTAAATTACTCCGCAGAGTATCCAATACAATAACTAGTAAGTGACACTAAGTCCAGCAGCCACCGCGTCCATCCAAAAATGTGGCGGTAGCCATATTATATCAAATTTAAACAATATATGTACAGTTCAGAAGCAAACACAAAAACTTCAATATAAGTACAAATATAGAAAGAATAACAACATACAATGATAAAATCTCAAATTGGAATCAGATAAAATACCAAAAATGTCAAGAGAAAAAGTCCATCATGTCATAGCAAAAATATGTAAACATGGAGGGATTTTCCAAAAACACAAAACATTCAAAAAGAATTCTACACTTATGACTGAATTATAGTAAATATGGAAGGGACGAAAAAGTTGACTCTAACAGATCCACATAATACCTAAACAAATTTCTGAATTGTCATATGTAGTGATCAATACCGCAATAAAATATGTTGTTTTCTGAGTTTTCCAATCTTACTTTTATCTTTGCTGGACTCTAAATAATAGAAATGGCCAGTTTATTCTCAAAAACACGGTGTTACATGGGGCATGCTGGTTCACAGTCAGGATCAATTTGTTACAGACGCTGGCAGATTTAATCTAATACATAGATGGACATTTTACAAGACTCACTGGCTTTCTATGAAAGGCTGATGTTTTTCACCTAACCTAGTAAATGGTGTATAAGTGCCCGAAATGTACAACTCAATAGTTTGCGCGACTTATATTTGTGACGTTGTGCTGAAAAGACGCTGATCAATATTCAATGCAAGTTAAATTTAGGTCTGCATATGTCAATAATTGATGAGGTATATATTTATTGATCTTCTTGTTACCGTTCTCCAGATTATTCTGTATAAAACTGCAAGTGTCTAATAATATCAGGGCTATTGCTTAAGCTCTCAGAAGAGATTTTGAGTGAGAAAGTGAAGTTAAATATTTTCTTAATAAAGAATTGTGTTTCTTAAATCTTAAAGCAAAATCAAGAATGATCACAGACCCCAAGACGAAGTCCATCACGAAAACATCTGCTTCTAGACCTCGTGAAACAGACGAGCCGATTAGTGTCAATACCACAACGGGCAAATCTTCTTAAAAGAACGGGAGATAATACTGTTTCCCAAGTCGTCAAACTACCCTTTTGTCTGGCAGTAACGGCAACCGTTTCGTGTATGCAGAGTCATCTCATATACACCAGATTTTTGATGGTGAATGTTCATCATCTGGTCGATAATAACGCAGAGACAAGTGTCCTTCGATCGAACACAAACGATCGTTTGCAGAATCCGTGTTCATTCTGCTGGGGGAAAGGTATGTTTTCATAAACGTATGTGTTGTATGATATGTACAGTTACGGAAAAACACACTGTACTGTGTGTACTATTATATTTAGCTCACAGAGTTCGTCTCAGTCTTTGAACCAGCATTCATGATGGTGGAGCGATAACCTCAGTCAAACCATGTCTGTGAGACAGAACATCCTGTTAACCTACGTCTTCTCACGATGCACTGCGATGTAGCTAATCAATGATATTGATGTTTTTTTTTCAATTCAACCACGTGTACGACTCAAGTTTCACTTCCTGTGAAGAAACCCTATTAAGAGCAGATCTGGACAATTATGTTGAAAATATGCTTCTTGAGCTACAGCGTTAGAAAATGAAAAATGGAATTCAAATAAAGCATCAACTCGGTGCGCCCTTCTTGCTATATCCTGTAAGTCTACGTAATTTCCAACAATTTAATTCTTTTTATACCCTCTGTTCATAAGTTTATTTACCTCTTCGTTATCTTACTCATGACTTGTCTTCATATACCGACATTGGTACTGATGTACAGTTAGTATTCAAATTAAAGTAAAAGAAAGGTCTGAGTAATCATACTTTTGATAGATCCAGAAAAAAATCTACTGAGTTCTAATTCAGCTTTAATCATGGATATTTTCACTTCTGCTACTCGCTCTTTCCTGTCCATTTCTATTTTTCATCACCTCATTCAACTCCTGAAATGTTAGTCTTTATATTTTCTGAAGAATCATTTGCTTTACCCCGAAGCCTGTCAAACTATTAACAGGGGAAGATAATTTCATACTTACCTCTGCATTTCTTGTAATATGAACACCTGGATTTACCTTAAATATATTTTTAACCAGCGCTGGTTCATCGCAAAGCAATTATCTAGAATTTTATGTGAAAAATATTAGCGCTATAGATAAAGCCAATGTATGTGGTTAAATACTTATCTAAATTAACAAATATGCTAGCAATTTTACCATTTTAATCAAGCTTGTAAGTTGGCATGTCTATTGTGAAATTTTGTTACAACAGAACAAATTATTATTATTATTCCCCAGTTCTTCTCTCCACTTCCTACCTTGCCAACCGTTCGCTTTCAACATTGGTGGATCTAATTAGTGTGTGTACACTGTTTACCTAGAACACTAGATAAATGACTTATTTTTTCTGAGTATAAATACATAATCATGCTCCATCGTATTCAGTTGGTGCATTCACCTCCTTCAGTTCACTTCTCTTAGCTGTAACACTTTTCGTTCGCATGTCTGTCTGCATGAACGATTACTGAAATAAAATTATCCAAGCTAATCCGTATTTGGCTTCTCATTAACGCCGTCGCACATATTGGGTTCGCTTAGGAATGTTACACAGACACTGAAATGGAGATTTATTTATTTGCATATTTAATTGTTCGCAAATATTGAAGTCAGGTCACCGGCCAATGAATGTGCCGTACGTCGAACTAAATGCAACTACTGAAATAAAGTCCACACGTTCTTTCAACTAATATTCAACTGGTATCTGAAACCACATCGAACACGACCAAAACTGCCGTTTGTAACTCATAATGTTGCTCATCAAATCACAACGACAGGACCTCCTGTATTTTCTTAAACGGCCTGCGACTAGCACTTAAAAAACTAGGACTTACGAGAAACAAATCCGACCACGTGATGCATTTAGGTATTATACAACTGTCAAACATCACATGAACATTCGCAGTCTCAAGAGGTATTGCAGTGATTGGAGATCAACTTATTTAAGTTATATAACCAATTCCTTCTGGAGATAGAATAAGTCCTTGAAATGGCCATCATCACTCTCTTTTCGTATACTTTTTAGCTCAATATATGCACCTAAAACGTCTTATATATTCAGTGATAAAATGAGTAACAAATTTTGACCCTTTTCTAACTGTTATTTGAGGAAGTGGATGCAAGTTCGAAATCGGACTTTTCTGCTGTGTATTTGCACTTTTAGGAATCACATGCTTCCGAAAGACCACTTACCA